GTGTTGCGTGGGTATTTACAATGCAGTGCAGGTATAGGAGGAAGCCGAAAGAAGCCCAAAAAGAATGCAGGCAGATAGGCAGGTCCGTAGTTGCCGTTCTGTCCTGAATGAAAGCTGATTGACAAGATGGAGGAAAGCAGCCCTGGGGGGTGTGCCGAAGAACTGGCTGGAGTGAGGCTGCTCTGAGTGATGCCGAATCTGGTAGGAATGAAGCAGTTCGGAATTGGTGCCATAGGGCTGGCTGGAATGAGGCTGCTCAGAAGTAGTACAGAATCATCAGCCGAAGAGGAAAGTAGCGACAAGTTCAGAAGATGGAGAGGGGCTGTCGTCCTGCTGACTCGCTGCAAGCTCAACAATGTCAGAGCACCCCTATGGCGACCTGAGCCCTACAGTGAACAGCATAATTAATTGAGTGATTGGCTGTGTGATCGATACACAGCTGGTCTGATGGACAAACGACCCAATCCTGTCCTCACAGACTGAGATGATGGAGGAGCACTCAGGGGAATGCTGCTGTTGTCCGCAGGCTGTGAGCTGCTCCCAGCCAGGGTGTAATAGACTGTATGTAAAAGTACTCAGCAGAACATTATTTCATCAAATGTGTCATTCAACCAGTGAAAGATATTGAAAAAAACACCATGTTGTGTTACAGCATTGAAAATCGAGGTGAAAGTATTACAAGGTTTAATGCTACATTTATGGAAAAGTGCCAAAGGCAATCTGGAGTAGTAGAAAGAAACTTTATGGGAAAGACTCAAACTGGAGACCGGATATGTTGTTATTAATCATAAACTACTCTGTATTTGTCGCACAGCATGATCACAACCATTGTTCCTGATATACCTTCCCCATTTCAAGACTTCTTTGATAGTGAGGTGAATGTACAACCTGTCTGTACTAATGGGGTGGATGCACAACCTGTCACTGCAATGCCTGTAAATAAAATATCCCATGCATTGTGATTCATAGAGGCATATTCAGAAGAACCACATACATTTTCAAGATATATTTCAGAATACATATATGCAATGGGAGCAATTCCCATCCCTGTATAAAATTCTGACTGTTCTCTAGAGTCTTAATTTAAATTGGAATGCTTTAAATCACTGGAAGAAAAGATGTGACAAATACAGATGTTGCACAGTCTGATAGTTTACTAGAATGTAAATATTACATTATTCATACATGTCAATGTCTTGAAATAGGAACTCCTGCCATGTACTGCAACAAAAGAGCAGGTTGCCTACAACAGCAGTTGATGCTGCATTGAGGACCATCAGAATAGAATTCTAAGATTTATACATTAAAATAACATAGCAGACTATTATAATTATTACAGGGGTTCCAGTCTTCCAATCAAGCCATGGAGGGCCACAGTCCTTTGGGTTGTATAGGTCATTTTAAATTAGCAGGATGTGAAGAGCTGGAAAAGACTCCACCTGCTCCAATTAAGCCAATGACCTGTTTAATTCAATTTTTAAGAGGTATGCTGTTACTGTATATAACCCTGCAGTACTATGGCCCTATAGGACTGGTCTTATACAGTACGTAAACACTGAAATAGTAATGTATATCAGCATGGTCATGACGATCACCATCAGCAACATCAGCCTCTATTGATTCACTACTAGGTGATAGCTTCAGGAAGATTCTGCCATGAATGTCTGTCTTTAGCCATCTATTCCATCTTACTTGTGTAAACATATTGATTTTTTCTCACTAGCTTACAGGAAATCTCTCCTGGTCATATTTCCTCTCTTGGGATCCAGTCCAGCATTTTCTTGGTTCAGTTATGATCTATTTTTTCACTGTGCCCATTTCCATTGTCTATTCAGGCTTACAGTTACAGTACATCACATACCCATTCATTTCTTTTTTGTTTTAGTTTCTCTTGTTTCTCTTGTGTGTTGAGCATACAGTACATCTTTCCATGCTACTTTGAGAGAGCTGTAGCTTCTGTTTGTGTTCCAGGTTTAACTTTCATAAATACTGTGTATAAACTGTATAAGTGTTGTCATGCTTGCCCTGGCAGCAGCGCCACAGAGCAAACTAGTGTTGTCATGATAACTGATCACACCCCCAACCCTCCTGTTAGGACTGGAAACAGGACAAAAATATAATCAGACAGGAAGCCTATCCATCTGTGCTCTATTACCACCTCTGCATCCTCAGGTGGCTCAGGCTATTTAAGGGCAGCTCAGACTTCACTCGGGATTCTCATATAGAGTCTGCTCGAGTGAGTCCTCTGTAGAGCTTGCCTCTACTTTGTCCCAGAGTTTCTCTTAGTTTTGTTCTCTGCTTCCTGTGTTTGTAAATTGCTTTGGTCTCTAGTTCCTGTCTTCCCTAGTTGTTACCTTTGTTCCTGTGTTCCCATGCCGCTCTCTTTAGCTCCTGTGCACCCCCTGTCGTGCTTGTTGGATTCTTGACCTGGCTTATCCTTACCTCGCTGCTCGGTGTTTATCTCAGCTTGGACCTTGGCTTCCTATGACATTCCCTTGCGATGTGCTACTGTGTCTACCTTGTTCCAAACCTTGCCTGCATGACATCCATCTGGAAGAACCCCGCTTGACAGCACCCTGCCACTCCACGTGCTCTATACACACCCCAGTCTACGCTAGCCTCACGCCATGATACCTCGGTTTGCCTGCTTGCATTGCTTGCTTTGATGTTCACCCAAAGGTTGGTTTCTTTCCTTGAAGGACAGACATTTCATGTGTGTCCATGAATATGACCTGCAAAGACTGTTATCCCAATTTTTTAACAGATTAACTTACAGTACATGAAGTAGTGAGTGAGTTACTTGCACCAGAATGGATTACAGCACAAGCAACACATTTGTTATTTATGAGTTTCCTAACCCTATTAAAGCATTACATGGCACTTTATATGGTACTCAATGTGTATGTTATGTGGATCTGTCTCATATGATCACTCGTAGTTCTAACAAAAACAGCAAGTGCATTTTTGGGCCATCCTGTCTCCTAGCAGCAAACCACAGAAAGATGCTATTAGACACTTACAGTACTCACCTTCTTGATGCAAGGACTCTCCTGAGAATAGTGTCAGTGCAGTGACCTAAATCAAAGCCTAAGATGCTTACATCAGTGACTGCTACTGAGCAGCAAAGAAATGTATAGTGGAATAGTTACAACATTTGCTTTACATTTTTTTATCCTTATACTAAATCCCCTGAATTACTTTAACAGCTCATTTCATTGGGACTTTTGGGAAGAAATCATAATGTAATATAATACTATAATACTCCCCAAGTGTTGTCTAAATCTTTGGCTGATGATTTGGTTTAAAAACCAATATTTTTCCTGCTGTCACAGATTTTCATTAACACACAAAAAAACAGAAAACATGTATTTTCTTTACCATTTACACACCACTTACAGTAGCTACTTTTCACCATTTACTAATTAAAAATAGAATATCTGCTAATAATGGAAATTGCAATGGTTGTGTTTAAATATACCTATACAGTATATGCACAATGCACAATTAATTCTAACATACAATGTTTTAGCATACAGAGTTAAGTTTGCTTCTTTATTACTTGTATGTAAAAGGTGTCCTAGCCAACGTCATACTTTAGTTTTTACATTTTACAACCTCCCCTCATAGTACATACTTGCCTGTATCTACATAGATACTGTATTATAAATATTGGTTATCTGGCAAGTGTTAATTGTGAATAAAGAGTTTGAAGGTTGCAGAAAGTGATATATATATACAGTAAATCTTAATCACTTCCTTATGCACATAATTCTGCTTTTAAGAAACATTAACATTATTAATGTGTTCTACAATAGTAATACTCATTACAAACGCCACATTGAAAAATTAAAGAAAAAGTAAAAAATAGAAAAATCTGTAGACTCAAGGAATCCAAAGGCTTGAATCTCACTGTCTGTGTCCCAGCTCTCTGATACTAGAGCAAAAGGAAACCAGCATGATTAGCATGTAATTTATGCTGCCTTTTCTTGTTATCTCTCTTAACAAGGTCATTGAAATAACGAGACAGTGAGTCTATTTTTCACAATGGAACCATCTTTTGTCTGACACATACTGTAGTGCATTTGCAAAATGAAACCTTGGTTATGTATGCATGTAACATCTTTCCCAATAGACAGTGGAAACCTGCTGTGCAAATGACCCGAGTGTCTATATGTAACAAGGTAGACTGTAGACTGCAGCACACCTAAGTGAAAGATTGACAAGATAGCTTATCCCATATATCCAAAACAATTTCTTTTTTACTCACCAGACCTGCTGCCACACAGCTCTTGGGTTCAGGGTTCATTTCCTACCTGGGGCACCTTCTGTTTAGGGTTTGAAAGTGTCTGCATGGGTTTTCCTCCAGGTGCTTCAGTTTTCTCCCACCTCCCATAGGAGTACCAAGTAAGTAAACTGATGTCCCTTAACTGTCTTGGCATGTGTGCAGACCCTGCTCTAGACTAGATTGTTTTTTGTTTAATTGAATTTTGCTTACTTAATGTTATAGGACATGAACAGTAAATGGTTGGTGCAGTATTTGAACTGGGAGCAATTCATGACAAGGAAAATACAACATTTTCCCATCTTTTTCACGTGTACCTCCCACAAAGAGTAAAACTGAGGAAATAGAGACAGAAACAAGATGCAAAAAGGATAGAAGCATAGAAAAATATTAGTTACAGTATAGTAAACAGTCTCTGGAAAGCAAAAAAAGTGGAAGGCCTAATGTTTCATCTGAATAGCCAACTGGTAATAGATTGAGGTCTAGGGTGTAGAAGGGAGGCTCAAGGTAGTTCAGAAACGGTTGCTGAAGACACACCATTTTAGGGCAGTCCACACAGGCCACCAGAGACAGCAGAGTAGAGTTAAGCGGCTATATTATGCCGCTGGGAGACCACTCTTTCAGTGTATGTGATGTAAAGGAATTTTTTCAATGAATCAAAGGAGAGAGAAAATGTATTATTATTTAGTATTTTTATTTATTAGTTCTGATGGGAGTAACTGGATATTATTAAACAAGTAGTGTGAAGGATCGCCGCAGATGGATTTTGATTTACGCAAAGCACGTGAATGATAGATGGAGGTGAGAGCTGGAAGATCAGCACCAATGAACTTCTGACATATTTTCACAAGGCTGCCCAGTTTGTTCTTGCTTCTCAGATTTAGGTTGCCAAACCAGCAGATCAGGGTAAAAGCTAGAACAAATTCAAGGAAGGACCGGTAAAACAAAAGCAACAATGAACAATGAAAATAATTAAGCTTCCTTCAGAAAAAAAGACGCTGTTGACCTTTTCTGAGGATTAGGTCAGTGTTGGCTTCAAAATTAAGCTTGGAGTCCAGAACAGTCCCCAAGTACTGGTATTGTTCTACCAGCTCCACTGAATCTCCCCCAATGTGGGTTAGAGTGGGAGTGTGGGTGTATTTCCTGAAGTCAATTATCATTTTAATTTTCAATTAGGATTACATTGCTTTATAACAGGGGTGTGTGCAAGGTCATTTAGTTAGGACTGGTAGAGCTATAATACGTATACAGTACATCATTCTGCCCAGTAACATACAAATGATTGGAGGTTTATGTAAGAGAAATTCAGTGAGATTCATGTGACTTGAAATGGGACTCCTGAGGTAAACTAGAATAAACTGCACAAAATAACATGTCCCCTCTCCAACGCCTAACTCCTCCATGAGACAGTTGCCTGCTTCTTCAACTCCTATCTCCCAGCACAACATGAGGCCTCTCACTCAGACCCAACCCTCCCTAATAAGCCTGTCTATTGCTCTAAGGTTTCCTCACATACAGTACCTTCATTTTAAAGGTTTAAAAAACTTTAAAGAAAAACTTGTGTGCACCTAATTTTGTCCATTTAAAAAAAAACTGCATCATATCTCTGTTCCATTGAATAAATGTGGATGTGGGTGGCTCACTATTAAAGAGAATAAGGAACAAAAGAGAGCTGTGCAAGGAGAGCTGCAAATGTCAGGTCACCCAATGACATATTTGACCCAAACCCAAAAGGGAGAAATCATGAACATGGACTTAAATAAATATACAATAACAACAGTGACAAAGTTTGCCTAACAGAATTAATAGGGAACATAAACAGTTCTGCAAATATGAAAAACATACGGTACACTTCATTTACTGTATGTAAATGTACTGTAGCTATTTGGGCATTGACATTGGGAAAATTCCACTCTTTAAAGATGTGGAGCCATCGGGTCTCCATTCAGTTTTGACTGCTGTCTGATTAGCTTAACTCAGAGCTGAGAAGACAACTCTGCTTAACTATTCAAATTATTAAGGAGTCATAGCCTCTTGCCTTTCTACGATAAGGGCCAATAATCAGCAGATGCCCTCTGGCCCACACTCAACTATCATTCTCAAGAAGGTCCTAGACACATCTGAAACAAAACTGTAATGCCCTGTCCAATTAAGTAAAAGAAAATTGTGAGGAATACATTCTTGAAATTCATTACTTTGGTATGCTCTCGAGAAATATCAATTCTGAAAAAATGTATCCTTAACATAGTCCAGACCATTTCCTTGTGATTTGGTTTTCCAGTTTTTGTTAAGTCTTAAAAAGTAATTCAAGATACCAGCTACAACAAGTCAAGTTCTGAGGAGAATTTGTACCATTTCTAACAGATGTTATACAAAATGTGTTATACATGCTCAATAATGCATGGATAAAATCGAATTTAAATGCAAAAGACTTACATTTCTTAAGAGGCATGCGTCTATGTCGGTCACGTAAAAGTTCCCATATAGCCTTCTGTCACATTTCATTTAGATATATATTCATGAATAACGTAGACTAGCTCTTAAAATCATCACACCTTGACTTTCATGAAACAGCCAATCCTTATGATTGCACATGCATGCAAGGTAAAGTAACAGGATTTTGTTTGCATATGTTGCAAATTGGGAGCTGCACGTCTTCTGCTAGGAGCAAAAGTTAAGAACTTAGTTTTACTACAGCTCCCACTTTTTTGTGAGTGCATTAAACAGCAACAATGATTTAAGGTTCATCTAAGATTAAAGATCAAAATGTGGAAGTTCAGATAGAGCAGGTGCTTAAAACAAACTCTAAATATAAGCCTTAACTTAAGCAGCAACCAAGATCACAGTTGCTCCATGTAAAAAAATGGAGAGCTACAGTTAGAAAGCTAAAATGTGAGTGCCCTGGAGGAGAAGCAACACCCAGTCCAAAACAATTGCATAAAAACTCCCAACTACTTTAAAATGGAGTTCTAATCATTGTATTTTCTTTTAATCAGTTAATATCACCATCCAAATAATAATTCAATTAATCTACCCATTTATATCTGAGAATTTGCCTTTCCTGTTTCACACCACTGTTTGTATTTTATGTGGAGGTGTGATAGTAAAAAAGTATGTGAACTACAGCAGATATTCAATCGATCAGAACAAAAAGCAATGTACACACACCAACACATGCCACTGGAACATGCCCATAGTCTCAGGACCTGGGAAAACAGCCACAAGTGAAACTTAGATGGGGAGAAATGTAGGATAGAGGGGACATGGTTTAATTTATTGAGCGATAAAAAACGTACCTTTTGAACATCCCCTGTAAAAACAGTGTAAGATGTATTAAATTCTGAAAAGCAAACAACATCATTCCGATATGTTATCATTTCTAATTTCATTGCGTTTAAAAAAAAAAACAATAACCCCTTTCCTCCTGCAATATTGCCCTGGAACATTGTTTACTTCACAACAATTCAACAGGGAATATATTACATTTAAAAAATTCAATTTCAGATTTCCAGCTATTTTTGGATTTACCAGGGGCCTTGTTTGCTTCCTACTATGCAAACACATCACATTCTTAAAAAAGAGCTAAGAAACTAAAAACCATGTTTCACTGAACCGTGGTTTCTTCTAATCACCTTCTGTGCTTTAAAATGGAATCATGTTGCACGACCAAGGTGTATGCTTAAAACTTTTGCTAAAGGAGGTTGATTCTTCTTACCAGAGTAGGAGGGAGTAGTTGTCTACTAATAAGTATCTTGTGGGTTTTGTTCCTTGAGTCGTGATTTTGTGTTCTTTTTCTTGTACCACGAACCTTATGATTGTTGAAGAAAGAAACTTGGCAATGCTGAAAACAACAGATTGTATCCAACACAGACTCTGTATATATCTCATGTAGTTGAACTTTTAAGTATTTCTTGGCTTGCATCCTTGAAAACCCAATTTTCTAACACATTAACATTTCAATGGGAGGTGAATTTTAACTTATCTAACAGCTACAGTATATAAAGCATAGTTGCATTCTGGTGTCATATTATGACTGTGTAGAGATAAGGTTTCCATAAAGTACAGTATTTTTCAAATTTGTTCTATTTCCTTCTTCTATTTCTGTTGGTTGACCATTCCCCCAGATTTACAGTACATTATCACTATACTGTACAATAGTACTGCAATGGAAAAAAAAGCAGTTCTGCTAATATACAGTAATATACAGTACCATAGCTGACATGTGGAGCTGTAGTATATCAACAGAATTCCATTCCTCCTCCTACCTGTAGGATGCTCCTCAGAACATTTGCTCATGTGTTGCCTGTCTAGGGTCAAATTTCTTATAACGTAGTCATTATTCTATATGAACTTTTAAAAACAGAAACATTTATCTCAAACCTTTAAAATGTTCAGGATCTATTTTACGTGTAAAATATTTAATCAGAGAATGTTCTTTTTTATGTTGCTCAGTTGTATGGGCCATCACCTTGAACACGCATACTGTAACTGACTTGACATGGACAGGGTGAGAAGAACTCCTACCTCCTACTTTAGCAATGGTATCAGTAGTATACTTGTCAGTACTGTAAGCCTTTATAGTACATCTACAACATCTTGCCAATTCCAGACATTTTCAGACTATTATACCTTAATGATTGATTAGGATGAATTCTCTTTTGATATTATTATTGAAATATATTTCCATATTGATATTACTGATGAATATGCTAGGCTATATTGTCTTAAAAAGCAGGATAAAGTCTAAATAATATATTTGTTTTATTACTATTGTGTTTGTTATACCCAAAGGAAAGTGTCATTTTCATTTTGCGGCTCAGTCAGCCTTTCCAAATACTGGTTACACATGGATTCCTGGATGGTATAAAAAAAAAATGTTTTGTCCTATCAATACTATATATTTGACAATAATATATAACAATTATTGGAACTGCCTTAACATATAATCCGTTCTTTGCATTTCATATACATTGAAGAATTGTTCCCAGATTTTCTGTGTAAAATATTGTCTGACTCCTGTTCTCAGCCTTTTGGAGATTCCAAAAGCTTTGATTTCCCATGATTGATGGTAAAAATAGTTTCTAGATAATCTTCCTTTATTTATTCATAATAGTTTTCATGCTTGAAACTTTCATGTAATCGAAAGTGAGAGAACATTGATTGCAGATGTCTAGGTGTGACAGCAGCACATAAATTAATTTAAGACGCAGATCACAGTGTTGGGATTTAGAAACTAAACACAAATGAGATGCAATTAATTAAGTTCATACAGGTTAACATTTGTGTAATGTCTGACACCTGAATAGGCTGAACTTAAACAATAGCATGAAAGTACCTATGGAATTATGTGAAATAAACATGTTGTGTTCTAATTTTAATGAATGATTTCTGCCTCACCTTGTCTCTTTTGACATATAAAATGCAGAGGCTAAATCAGAAAATCTTCAAGCAGGATTTTAAATAATAGAATGCATTGATATTCCAATTAACAAAGGAGAACATAAAAGACCATCATTCATAAGTGAAGCTGTCAGCGGAACTCTATCATCTCCTGTTATGAATATTTTGTATGAGGCTGAAACAGTAGAAAGTTTTTAATATTTTAATGTGTGAAAGTATCAACCCCTTCGAACAGTATAAAAATATACTTGCAGATAACAATGACTGTGAATCAAGTCAACATATCTTTACTATCAGATGTCAAGTTATGACAAAGATCATGGTTCAATAATGCATACAGTATATGGATTTCCATATTTGTTCCACAGTAACAATGATCCTGTATGTCATTTCGAATAAATTGAGACAATTTTGCATTTCAACTTTAAGAGAGGTCAACGGTCACAGGAAAGTGCATTTTTGATAACGTACATTTGGTTTCCTTAGGGCAGTTCTTTGGTGATTACAAATCTA